CTTGGGGGCAAAGCTCGGGACAGACGAGCAGATGCCGCTGCCTCACTCGCAGCGGCGAAGCCGATTATCCACACATGGCCATCTCAATGCGCATCGTTGGCTGATATCAGACCGTTCCCTGCTAACCTCTGCTTGGTAATGTTAGGTGCCCGCTTACCTGGGCCCAGTATGGCCTACAAGCGAGTTTTGCTCCTGGGCATTCAGCACCAAGCCCTGGCGCTGGAAATGGGCCAACAAATTTTCATACAGGTAATCCCCAAGGCACCGGCTCGTGCGCCCTTGGCTGCGCCTGATTGCTCACCACAATGCGGCCCTTGCCGGGCTTGCCAGGGTTGGAGGTGTAAAGCAGGCCTTTGTAAGCCCCCCGCTGCTCGGACCGCTGCAGGCCGGCTGTGCTCAGCCACCCCCGCTCATTGCCCGCAGGCTGCTGGTTGGCGCGCTGTGGGCGCAGGAGAAGGGGCGCATCAACAAGTGGCGCGTCTCGGCGCTCGGCTTAAAACCTCTGCGGTCGGGGCCCCTCTCCGTGATGGAGGCGGCGGGCGGGAGCATCCCAGTGTTGCTGATGTGCACGCCGCACATGACGCCAGGCCTGAGGAGGCCGCCGGATTATCCAAACTTTGTCCAGGTGTGCACACATTTGCATGCATGCCGGCGGTAGAGCATAGTGTTTCACACCCCAACTTGGTGCCCCGGACCCCCCCACACACACACACACAGACTGTGCGGTGCATAATGGCATCCCCAAGCACCTGGCCAGTCAGTCCCTTCAGCCCAGTTTGTCCCCAAACTTGAACCTGATGTCAAGAACTCACACATTCACTCAGCCAATACTGACCGCTCGCACCGGGCCCAACTGTGCGCCTGCAGTACACTGGCTTTGCATACGTTCCAGAGTCCCGAGAGGCTGACATCGACCCGCAGCTGAAGGAGTTCATCACAGCCGGAGAGGCGCCCATTTACCTGGGATTTGGGTCAATGCCAGCGCCAGACCCCAGGAAGCTGCTGCAGCTGGCAGTGGAGGTGTGCGGGTGTGGCGCTGCTTTCGTGTGTGCGTGCGGGCATGTCTCTGTGCGTGCGTGTGTGCGTGCATGCGTGCGCATGCGCATGTACAAGTGTGTGCCTGCCTGCACACCCATGGGTTGTCTTTGTGTGTTTGTATGTCTATGTGAATGTGTAGATGTGTGGTTATTGTGCGCATATCGCATGCAGCATGTGCGTGTGACCTCATGTGTGAGGGGAGGCAGGGCAATAGAGTTTGCATCGGCAGTCATGCACAGATGCAGGCATGCAGTGGCGCGCACCTGCGTTGCAAGTCGCAGCTTGGTGCATACAGTGCCACCCACCGCAGGCCCCTCGCATGTGGCTGCCACTGCGCCCTCCCTCCATCAGGTGGTCGAGAGGACGGGTCGCCGCGCGGTGATGGTGGCTGGATGGTCGGGCGTGCCTGCTGTTGTGGGCGACGGGGAGGGCCAGGTCCAGCTCCCGCCGGAGCTGCTGCTGGTGTCCGCCGCGCCCCATGATTGGCTGCTGCCCCGCTGCTGCGTGTGCGTGCACCACGCCGGCGTCGGTGCGCATGGTCCCCAGGTTATCCATCCAGGGGCTGGGGTGAGGGAGCAATGCGAATGCGGCCTGCCTCAGTGCATGTGGCTCACTGCCTGCATTGCACAGCCTTCTGATGGCATGGTGCATGCTATTCAGCAGGGTCATTGCACAAACGCCTCCGTCCCGATGCGCGCGTGGCACATCCAATTGCAGGCACCTGCGCCGCTGCCCTGCGCGCTGGCATCCCAAGCGTCCCTTGCCCCGTGATGCTGGACCAGCCAGCGAACGCGATGCGCCTCCTGGAGGCCGGCTGCGCTCAGCCACCTGTGCCCTTCCAGCGGCTGACGGCAGAGGTGCGCAGGCAAAGCAGTGGGAGGGCGATCCTGGTCAAGGGGTGAGGTTGGGACCTCCGCGGCCTTTGGGAGCTTTGCGGCAGACTGCAGCTGCCTGCTCGCGACATTGCGTGCAAGGAGGCTGACAGCAGGGCCCGGCAGGCACCTGCAGTGTGCAGCGGGCGTATGGTAGTGACAGCCCCTGGCGTGCTGCTTTGAATTTTTCTTGGGCTGGGTGCACAGTGTCGCAAGCTTGTCCACTGGTCCTTGGCAGGTGCTGTCGGAGCGAATCGCGGCCGCCTGCAGCGATGAAGCGATGTCGGCGCGGGCGAAGGAGGTGGCTCTGAGCATCATGCGGGACTGGCGAGGGGTGGCTCAGGCTGCGGATGCGGTGCTGGCTGCACGAAGCCCGTGGGACGATCTCAGGGCCGCGGGCGCAATCTGATGCTGGATATACGCGCGATGAAGTGGACAGACATGCCCCAACAACGCTGCACATTAGGGCTCATGCTTCCATGGCAGGTTGGCAACCATTGCAGAAGTCAAGTATGCAGTCGCCAAATCTGTGCAATGACGCTATTAATCCAATGCCTCATATCTTACGCGACCACCTCTTGGCAACTTTGAGCGCAAACCGCACAACCACCCATGAATTGTGGAAGCCACCAGGGGCAGCGCCGATCGTCTGCATCCAATGCCCCTCATATAACTTAAATGTGTCTCAAAAGGTCATTTGCGACCGATCGGCGGCCTCCTGCACCTCAAATTTGTGGTGTCACCCCTCACCCGTTCAGCGTTGGCAACGTCGCCGTGCAGTTCCAACTCGAGCTGTAACGACCACAATTGCTGATTAGATGGAGAAATTTTTGACGAATGAGCCACGGCCAAAAGCGAGATTATGGGGTATGTGCTGCTGCTCAGACTGCTTCTTGTGTTCGGGGCAGCTGCCTGGGTAAGCGCAGAGTGCCCTGTAATATACTCAAACTACACAGATGGGTTGCTCTTCGGCGGGCTGCAAAATGCCACCTGTCAGGTGCAGACCGTCAGCGTGTCCGGCAACTCCAGCTCCAATGAAACGGTGCAACCTTGCCAGCGCTGGGGATACTGGTACGCTTCCCTTCTAGCTGGCACCGCAAGCTGCGCACGGCTTGCTGCCTTCCAAGGGCCGACGTCCGGCTGCCCGGTGACCAGCCACTGTGCTTGTGCTGCGGCGCAGCAGCAGCACCCCCAGGTCTGCGGGCTCACACCACCACCATGACCCTCCGCAGGTGGGAGCAATGCAAGTTCGCGGCCACGCCGCCCGCATTCGGCGTGTGCAGCGACGCGCAGCGGGCCGAGGGATTGCAAATGGCTGGGCGGCTGTTCAACGGCGCACCCATGCAGCTGCAGCCCTGTGACCTGCACAGCTATATACGCGGCCGCACACTTTGGATCATTGGGTGAGTCGCATGGGATCACAAGGGATACCCCATGCGGTCTAGCGCCAGTGCGGAGAGCTTCAGCCCGCACAAGGGGGGGTCGAGGCACTGCAGCTGCCAGCAAGCAGTGGGCCATGCCCGTCGCGCCGGCGGGGCCGGAAGGGCGCTCGATGTTTGATGTGCCTTTTGCTGCCGCGCCGCCGTTCCTCTGTGCAGGGACAGCCACTCAAAGCAGCTGTTCAAGGCAATACAATGCTTCCTGATCGACTTCTGGGGTGAGGGCTTTGGCCTGCCAGGGTCGGCTGTTGGGCGCAGGGGCCAGGGTGGGGCGCAGCCTTGGGGCGCGGCAAGTCGGGGGCAGAGTAAGTGCTTAGCACTGCTGCTGAATTTCGGACGGATCATCCAATGGTTCGCGTCTTGCATGTCTGGCAAGGCCTAGGCATGCGGTGACCAGCGCATGCGTGCGGTGTGCACTCGCGCCCACGATCCCAACCCACGCCCACGCCGTGCAACAGCCACCCCCATCCCCCTGCTTGCCTTCCAAAATTACATTGGTTCATGCAACAACAGACCAGCAGGAGTGCCTTGTCAGCAATAACGAGAGACTCAACCAGCAGCTGGACAACCTTCCGGTGCTCAAGGGTGACAGCAAGTGCATCCATGTGCTGGGCAGCGGCCGTGTATGCTTCGTCGGCGCCGTGCTGGGGACGAGCCTGCTGGACAACCCCAAGGTGTGATGCGTCCCATCGTGTTGTCCGAAAGGGGTGACGCGGCTGCTGCTGCTTGGGAGGCGCAGTATCTCGGCATCAAAGGCGCCCCACAGACGAGCAAGCAGCGCTCGCATCGCCCTGCGGCTAGATTCTCAACGCTGCATCCTCAACGCTCCAAAACAGGTGGCGAGCGGCGGCGTCCTGAACCTGCTGAGAAAGCGCCTGGCGGACCCCCAGGATATTTTTGTGATCAATTTTGGAGTCTGGTGGGTAGCGTGCCGGGCGTTTGACCAATCGCATGTGCCAGGGCGTCAGCAGCCCTTGGCCGTGGCGATATGATTGTCGCTTGCACACGCATGCGCATGCGCGCTCACATGCGGTAATAGAATGCACTGCTGACCATTCATGACCGTTGCATGACCGCAACGGTGTCCGGCAGAAACGTCTCCGTCGTGACGAGGGTCTTTGTGTGGCGCATGGTGCTGTTGGCCCCAGCTGACCGCTGTTGACCACCCCTGATGACCGCCTCTGACCGAACGTGCACCCCTGGTGGCCCCAGGCATGTAAAGGATGGGAACGCTGGGCTCGAGCAATACAACAAGGCACTGGAGCGGCTGGGGAGCGACTACAAGGTTCGGGGGTGTGGGTGGCGAGTGTGAAGCAGCCCCTCTGCAGGTCCTTCAAGCAACCAGCCTTGTGGTGACTCACTGCCACCCAAGGGTGGATGTTGCATGAAACGCCACGCTGCAAACAATTGCGTGCGGCCCCCACGCGCCCTGGGTCCTGCACGCCAGACAGAGCTCATCCATTTGAACACACCCCGTTGCCACCGCAGCTCAACAAGGCATCATGGCCTCACGTCTTCTTCCGAGAAACGCCCATGTCCCACTCCAAAGACATGAAAAGCAACATCTGCCTTGCGGCGCCTCAAGGTAGGGTGGGTGGGGGGCGCACGCAAGGAGCAGAGAGCGCTTCGTTGTCAGGGGCAGCAGTCAAGGTGGCTGAGGCGCTGGGTGCGCCTGGGGGCCTGTTCTGTGCAGGCCAAATGGTCACTTGTTGGTTTGGTCACTTCCTTCAAACAGGTGGACGCTTTCAAAGGGTGCATGGCCCAGTCTGCTAGGTCCGATGGCCCGTGAACCTTGAAAGTGGCTGGCGCGCTGTTTGCACGAGCAAACCCATTGCGTTGGATGATTTGCACCGCCTCGATGGATGCGTGCCTGCCACCCCCTCCCCGTGCAGGCTGGGGCCTGGATTATGGGCGGGGCCGCCTGTACATCCAGCCGCTCGCCCGCTCGGCCGCGGTGCAGTCGCTGGTGAGCGGCGGCCCCCTCAACGCCCCGGCGCGCACAATCCTGTCTGGCAAGTATGCGATGCCGGTCATCGGCGGCTTTGCGTATTCTGTGCCGCTGCACGGGTCGCACCCCGGTCTGCGCGGCACGCCGGCGCTGGACTGCCTGCACTACTGCAGCCACGGCCTCCCTGAGGTGTGACCCTGGGTTAGAGGGGGGCAGAGGGCAGCAGAGGGGAGCAGAGGGGGGCCTGGCAGGGGGATGAGGCATTTGCGGATGCAACTCGTCTGCCTTGCAAAAGTTGTGCGCCCACTTGCAACACCCCAAAAACATACCGCGTGGTCGCGCACGCACGCGCCTGCAGGCGTGTGCGCACACGCACATGCACACGCAAGCACGCGCATACACACGCGCGCGTGCGCGCGCACACACACACACACACACACACACACACACACACACACACACACACACACACACACACACACATACACACACACCTGCCTGATCTGCACGCAGATCATCACTTTTGAGCTGTTTCGAACCTTCCAAAGCGGCATCACGGGCGTGGAGCCCTTAGATTGGCCAGACCCCACCAGCCGTCTCAACTGCACCCCCACCAACGGCAAGTACCGGTGACATCCGCAGCCGATGAAGCCGGCGGCCTGTCGACGCCGGCGGCCGATCGCGCCGCTGGCGCAGCGCGCCCCTCCCCATGCACGAGGCCGCTGTTTCATGCCTATGCTCTACACAAAGACAGGAACCAGATAGGAAGCCGGCCATTGAGAGCTGCGTTTTGGGCTTCTTTCTCAAGCATCTGGCCACAGAGAAGTACTTGAACATGCAACAGCACACACCCACGCAGATTTCCAACCCGCACGGCACGCAAGTCAGAGCGTTTCAAGACCCCTCCCTGCCACACACCAGGCGCCGCCACGCACCTCTGGTGCAGACAAGGGCTGCGCCCTGAGCTCCATGCGACCAAATATGCAGAGGGGCAATAATTGGCACTGGCGCTCACTCGGGGTTTGCGTGCGCCGCGAGGCGCCGCGGGGATGCACCACTGCCATAGTGCTCCGCCCCACGTCTGCCCCTGGTTTGTGCCTGGGCGCGTCGTGCAGCACGCTCCCCTCTGCTGGGTGCACCAACCCGGGATTTTGTTTCTGGCGGCTGCTGCGACATGTTCGCGGCTCTTTCCGCCGCCTTCAAGCACCGAATGAGCATGCGTGGATGGGGCCATTTCCACGCTACAGCATACTTGCCGTACCTTGCCGCCAGCCCCGCCTGATGGGGTCCACCTGTGGCTATCTCTCCCCAAAACGACTGGCTGTGGCACACCTTGCCCTGGAGGGGGATGCAACCATGTAATAGACTCGACCAGTGATCAACGCAAGCGGCTGGCCCAGCAGGAGGCTGGCGGGTGCTTTTTACAGCAGAGGGCGCAAACGCACATGAGATGCGGCGCAACGCGTCAGCTTCTGCCCCCCATGTGCTCACTCTCTCAAGCGGCCCAGCAGCAGCCCCACGCCCGGCGAGCCGGGGCGCGGCGGAAAGCAGTAGCAGAGGGCGCGGCGCTGGGTTTGGCACGGGGAGGTGCGCTTTAGGAGGCCAGCGGCGGCGGCGCATACGGCGCTCGTCCGCTCTTCCGGGCGCCTTCCCGAGATGGGGCAGAGGCGTTGGGTGGGGGTTGTCATCAATGCAAGGAAGGGTCCAGGGCGGCTGCATATCTCAGCAGCCTGCGGCCGTAATTGTTTCATGGGCAGCGCCCAGGGAAGCGCTCTAGGCATGACGGGTGATACTGGGTACGGAGGCGCCGTGCACACGCGCCTGCTCGCGCGCGGCTCGCATCGCTGCGGGGGCGAAGGGTTCGGGTCTGCATCAGAGTTCTTGGGTGGCCGACTGGCGCCAGCTCGGGGCACGCTTTGAGAATAGTGAAATGATGTTGAGACGCTAGAGTGATTCTGCGGCGAATTGGATGCATTCGCGCTTCTAGCTACGACGGACACTCTCAAGCGCAACCGCTGGGGGGCTCGCGGGCGTGGGGGCCAGAGCGGGAGCGTGCGCGGGCACAAGAGCGGAAGCAGGCGTCGCGGCCCCTGCGCAGGCCGCGTGCGCGGCCGCCGCGCGCTGTGGCGGCAGAGGGCCGGGCAAGCAATTGAGCTCGTGTCGGCCGCGCACGCGGCATGCATTGGAGGGGCCCAAGGAGGGGCCCAAGGCTGCGGCGCGTCACCATCTTGCAACAGTGTTGACCAGGAACTGAGTCAGCGTCGTCGCCCGGTTCTCCTCGCGCCCCTCGATGCCCGCCACATGGATCAGCCGCACCCGGTTCTTGCCGTCCCACAGCGGCGACCCGCTCATCCCGCTCATCGTGTCGCAGTTGTGCTCGTTGGTGGGGCTGTCACAGTCCAGGGCGCGCTGCGCGCAGGTGGCCATCATGCACGTTCCCTGCGCCTTGTCCTGGGGGTAGCCCGCGACGGTGAGCTGCAGGTTGCGGCCGCAGCCGGCGGCGATGCCCATGTACCCGGTCAGCGACCCCAGGGGCTTCTGCAGCGTCACCACCGCCACGTCCCAGGTGGAGGGGTTCTTCTTGAACGAGTCGAATACGGTCACGCTCTTCCACGGCACGACGCCCCACGGGTTGATGATGCGCCCGCCGTCGCGGTAGCGGCCGGGCGCATAGTTGAGGTTGAGGTAGAACGCGCCCCGCTTGATGTTCCAGACGCAGTGGCCGGCGGTGAGCACCTTGTCGGGGGCGATGAGGGTGCCGGTGCAGATGTAGAGGCCGGTGTCGTCCACCACCTGGATCTGGCCAATCGCGGTGAAAGGGAAGCCCTGCTCGCAGTCTGAGCGGTCGTCGCCGCCGACAAGCTCTTTCAAGCCGCGCGCCTGCGCCAGGAGCCGCCGGCCGCCTGCGGTGGCGGCCGCAGCGGCGGCGGCGGCGGCGGCGTCCGGGGCTGGGGCGGGCCCGGCGGCGGCGAGCGCGGCGGCGAAGCCGGCCGCGGCGTCGTCTGAGGCGTCCGGCGCGGCGAGCTCGGCGGGG